TATATATATATATATATATATATATATATATATATATATATATATATATATATATATATATATATATATATATATATATATATAGGCTTGGCCAGGTAGGCATGCAATTTCAAGTCTCTATATGACCATGCAAACAAATTTTTTTTTTGATTATTTAACCACAGTTATTAACAAATGCGCTGAAAAAATTGGTTTTTAATTACATTAAAAATAAATAACTTTGATACGTTTATCTTTACTAACGTTTTTATATTTACATAATTTATATTTACATTTTACATATTTTATATTTACATATCTTTACTAACGTTTTTTATATTTACATAATTTATATTTACATTTTACATATTTTATATTTACATATCTTTACTAACGTTTTTATATTTACATATTTACACTTTTAAATAAAGTAGCTTATGATTTTAATTAAGGTATCATTAAAAGTTTTATAAATTTTTATTTATATTAAGTAAAATAAAAAAAAGTAAAAACTATTAAAAAATTTTTTTTTATAAGCGATGACTTTAAAGAACTTTAAAGTCTCTTTAATAAACTTTATATAAGAATCATTAAAGCCAATTCACTTGAAAAGTAGAAAGATTTTGTTGAAAAGACAAACCTTTTTGAAAGCTGTTTAAATTAAATAACTTTACTTATGTTTTTATATTATTGAAATGTATTTAAATCAGGGTTGGCACCCAAAAATCCACCCAAAAACCCAAGAGCAAAAACCCAACTTAATGGGTTTTTGGTTTTTGGTAACCCAACTTAATGGGTTTTTGTATTTATAATATTTTTATTCATAAATTAATTTCCATTCACACTCAAGATTTAATGCTGCTAAAAAATTGTTATAAAAACAAGAAGTTTAGTGAATCATAAATGAGATTTGATTTTATTTGGAGTAGAAATATTCAAATAAATCTAAAAGATTCCTAATTTTCCTAAATATCCTGAATCAGGCTTCATTTAACCATTTCTCGGCTTCTTCTTCTTGACTTCTATCCGAGGTTCTTTCATTCTTCAGTCATTCCTCAGCTTCTTCTTCTTGACTTCTATCCAAGATTCTTTTTAGATAAATAGAAAATTTTTTATCACCATTTATTTTAATTTGATCAGATGCAAGTTTATTTTTTACAATTTTATAGTTTACAATTTTATAGTTACTTTACATTTTAGATCTGTTAAATTGGCCAAAAAATGATATAGAACAATTGTTTTCTTAAACCTCTGTAAAATATCATCTTTGTATCGTCTTGGATACTATGAGCAATTATAAAATCATTACTAAATGTACTCCAATCATCTTGAATTAGGATAACAGCACAATCATCATCAGGATCACATATCATTATATTTACTAAGAGTTCTGAAGATATCTGTTTTCTATTTTATATAGGTAGTCAAGGCAAGTTTTTCTACTATGTTGAATGGTATATTTGTTGAAAAAAAGAAACCTTTTAACCTGCGAATCCAGTTCATTCTTCTAATTATCGGGTGGACATGAAAAAATCCAGTCAACTTTAAATTGAGATTTCTCAAAAACCATAAATGCTTTTTATTTCAGTTTTTTTTATTATTAAATGTGTTTACATAAATTAGAGTTTCAACTTAATTTTAAGGAGCTTGATGGGTTGTTTGGCAAGAAATCAAACTTTATAGCAGGTTGATGCCATTATTTCACAGACTTTTTCTTTTTTCACCATATTGGTGGCATTAATCCACTTTTTTTGGAAGTTCTTTTTATTATTTGTTACTCCACCTGTCTTACGAAGAACTCCTTTAACTATTACCCAAAAATCTTCAATCTTGCCCTCTTCAGGACGATTTGGAGGATTCGCA